AGGCTGTGCGTGTATGAAGTCGATATGATGTAAAACCTCGACATAATTAAGCTCTTGCCCTCGAGTGTAACCTCCTTAGAGGTTTTCCAAGGTACTGAAATTCCCGCGTACCCGTCAACGTCTAATGAGGGGATTGTGGATTAAGTTTCAGATTGGCATGAAGCAATTAAGGAGGACTTATTTACCTCGACATCTTTAGAATATATTAATAATGATGGTCACCGTTTTAGTCTTAATTTAGTTATATAAAAACTGTAGATAAATATACATATGCATACATTACAGTTAGCAATTTTTTTCTTTTTACTAATGTTTGAAAATTATATTTTTTATTTTACATTAATATTTTAGAATTCAATTCTTTGCTATAAAAAGGATAGTATACGTTTCCCATAATGTAATATATTTTTAAACATAATTTTTATCAATTGTGTTTATAATAAGTAAAAATAAATTACGAAAACAAAGATTTTTTTTATTACGTGTAATATATGTAATATATCTTACGTGCAAAAATTCTATCTGTAAATATTTCAAAAAATATGTCAACAATACTCTAAATTTCTTTTTTTGATAACAGTTTTCTATAATTAATTTATGTTCATTATAATATTACCATCTTTGTGTAATTAGCTCAAGAATTCCCCGAGTCAGCGCGAAATTTCGTAAGATAAATTGCGCGAAATTCCTCCCAATAATCCATAGCGAGTGAACTCTTCGATGTTAAAGACTATCTCAATCCAAGACGAGATAAGAAAGATCATCCGAACAAAATTAAACTACCTCATCATCATTAGGACCTAATTACTAGAAGGTCTTGGACGCGGATGACATCGCTGACGAGCGGTCGAAGCAAGGCGCTAACTACGTTCACGCACGCGCTCATCTTCGTCTCCACAGATACGCTTTCTGAGAAACCTGGTGTCGGTATCAGCATCTTCAAGTAAGCTAGTTGGTCTAGGCGAAAGCTTATTAATGGGTGCCTGCTAGGTGGGACGGGGGAGGTTTTCGCAGAACGACGATGAGGAAGAACGGGTTGTGAGTCGACGGAGGTGGATGCTGGCTGGATAGCTCGAGATAGAGGGTAGAAAAAAGTAACAGACTCCCCGCAAATAACCCCCACGATGTTCGCGGTAGGCGTGTCCTGGACACGGGGTGATGGCAGAATCCGGCCAACCAGGATTCGGCGACGACGTGCGCCCCGGCCTTCTCTCGTCGAATGAAAAAATATTGACCGTACGAGGGGGTATCCTGCGGTCCATTTGGGGGTTGCGGAGGTGAAACATAACGGTCGACTGATTGTTAGGGATGGCGGGCGGGCAAGGAGGGTTACGAGGCGGCGGGTGAATACCCTCCTCGTCACGTACGGGATCATTAGCTGGATATCCTTGGTCCCGTTGGCCAACCCTATCCGATAGCGGTGATCCTCGTGCTTGACATCATTATCCTTGGATGCTGCAGAGCGCCAACGCGGTCCGATCATACTTCGTCGAAGGCGCCTTCGTAGTTCGGTCTTCCGATACTGCTACTGTTTCTTCTCGTGCTTTTGCCACTTCCTTGCTTTTATTTCCGTTTCGTTTGTATTTATTCATCAATTTATTCATCATTTGACAATCTGAGCAACCTACAGTTATTCAATGAATCTGCAAAAATTGTGACAGTGCGCGAATTTGTTGTTTATGATGGGATAATAATTAATCGATAATAAACATTGCTGTGATGATAATCTAATGACTTTCGATTTTGACATTGTGTGTTTTGAAGATTTATGAATGGCGGCAAGTTAATGTGACTAAAAAATGGTATATTTGTTTAATGGAAAATACGTGATAAATTAGTATTTCTGATTATAACTCTGACAGTGAACAATTGATGACCATGGTGAAGAAGAAAAACTAATTGGATATACTTAATCGATCGCTATTTCTGCAGAAAGAATTTGTGATAAATGTTTATGCAAATAATATAACATTTAAAAAAAGCTCGAATTTTTTTGGTGTGATTCGTTATAGATTTTGATTGTATTCTTTGAAGTCAAATTAATATTTGTGTTATGTAACGAAAAATATTAATAAACATTTAATGCTAACCGTGGTTATATGATCGGAACATATCCATATCAAGAAAATATTGAAGTAATATAACAGTTTCAAAAATATTTCAAAATGGAGACAAGTGATCCGTCGGGTAGACTAACGGCGGAAGACTTATCGGATTGCATAAGTGACAGCAGCCATTCGGAATCTCAATTAAGAGCTTTTCAAAGTTATGAGCGCATCAAAGAGCTGAATCTATCTATTGATAAAACCAAAGAAGATGCATCGACGGAACCGAAAGATTTTCATCTTAGTCTTGAAGGTGGCGATAGGACGTCTCTCCGATTCAATGAATTTCCATGTGAAAATCCGACCAGGAATTTGACTATGACGTTGAATAAAGCCAAAGATTTCGGTTACTCCGCCAATAATTTGACTGAAATTAATTATCCGTTGGAGAGATTGAACGAGAATGAGGAATCGACTGACCCTGCAACGCTTTGCAGATCAAAAAATTCCAGCGCTAAAAATGTGCTGTTTAATTTACGCGAGACGAAGCAAAGGAGTCCTCATGCGTCGTTATCTTCCTTAGATAGGTATAGCAAGGATCTTAACTTTGTGGTAGAAAAGGAAATAAAGGACTTCGGCTTGCTCAAGAATTATAATCTCGATCGCATGAAAGAGTTCAATTTTTCCCTAGATAGAATGAGGGATACTCATATTAGCAGTTTGGCCCTTGAAAGATTGCGTGGTGGTGCTGGTTTACTAGAAAATTCGAGCATGTTAGATCACAAGGAATTTAGGAACTTGCAAGTACAGCCGAGGAATCCCGATCTTGAAGCAATAGCTTTGGAGCGTATGAGACGCTCACATCTACTTGGTACAGAACTATCCGCGCAAAATTTGTCAACGCAAGTGCCGCATTCGCATTCGATTACACACATGCAACATTCACAACAACAGCAGCAACAACAAGCGAAGTCCTTCACTATCGACGCGATCTTGGGCTTAAGGAACAATCAGCGAGAAAAACGAAATCAGCAGCAACAATACAGAAAACATCAGGGTATTTATAACATTTTTTCTCTTTATTATATGTGTGTTAATTTGTCTGTTAATTCTGGCTGTTATTAATTATACCTTTTTTGTTTAGCCTGATTAAATCAAAGACAAGAGATACATAGAAATATTATTTAAATTACACTTAATTACTGAATAATTTCTTTTTATATAATATTGTGTGTGTGAAGCAGCATATTTTTAAAATTGTTCAATTAATTCTTATAACGCACATTAAATTCTCATAGGATGTTATTTATTTGTCATAACATTTATTATGACAAATAGTTACTATACAATAAAAATATTCTACGTTATAAAGTAAATAAGTAAGAAAAAAGTGTTTCAAATATTTTAAACAAAATTGAACATTTAAATTTATACTTATTATATGTAAATAAAATAAATATTAAATATTTGTATGTTATTTTTACATAAAATTCAAAGTTTATTTATTAAAATTAGAATCGCAATTAAGGTAGGAATTACAATTTAAAGAACAAAATTATTTTAAAACAAAAATATTTAAAAAAATTGAAACTTGTAAGGAAACAATAATATTTTACTCTAAATACAAGAAATACATTTAATATTTTAACAGACTATTATGTGCAATAAATATATTATTTAGACTGCGTTCCGTTTTACATATGATGCATCATTTATCCTTGTTATTCACCGAATGTTAAACAAGGATAAATGATACATTATGCACATTATGTGTGAAATGGAATGCATTCTTAATTGAATAAGAAACAATTGAAATGCTATTATGTGTACTATATGATAATCGAAAGCGTATAACTAACTTCAGATAAATTTTAGTTTCTACTAGAATGAATGTGTCAAATATCTAAATTTTCAACGTCGAAAAGAAAGCAATAGTATTCAAAATTTCTTAATTTTAAATACAGGTATAATATTTTTTTTTGTAAAATCTTCTAAAATATTTACATAATATATCTTCGGAAATTTATTGATGGATTACGCTTAAATGCACGTGTGCAACTTAACCTTATTACATACTCTTTTATTACTGACGTAGGGTGTCTAGGACACCTCAGGTTTATAAATTTATTAAATGTATAAATGCTATTTTTACACGTTATTATATTTAGCACAAATTGTTTCACAATTTAAAAATAATTTTTGGAACCAGTGTTTTTATTTAAAAGATGTGTAAATATTATCCATTTATCTTTACTTAATTGTAAATCATATTATCTTTACTTAATTGTAAATCATTAAACAGAACAACAAAAATTGAGATATAATATTGGGATATAGAAACATAGCATGCAAGTAATTACGTTAAAAAAGACCACAGTAATGTAAGATTATATTAAAATGTATGTATTGCATTTTAATATAGTTTTTTACTAGCTCTATTATTGTTTAACTTTTATTGCAAAGGATGTAATTAAATATTCCTTGTTGTTATTTTATATGTTTGCTTGCTATTTTCTTAGGTCAGGAAAGCTCAACAAAGAACAGTAGTTCGAGTTCTGGTTCTGGTGGAGGAGGCAAAGTGAAGAGGGTGCGAACAATTTTCACGGCAGAACAATTGGAACGACTGGAAGGTGAATTTGCACGTCAACAATACATGGTGGGCCCGGAAAGATTGTACTTGGCTCACGCACTTCGACTGACCGAGGCCCAAGTTAAAGTCTGGTTCCAAAATCGTCGTATTAAGTGGCGAAAGTTGCATCACGAGCAACAGAGTCAAAGAGTGCATGAGTTCCAGCGCACGTTGAACTCTTCGTTGGAACACGAAGACAGCAACGAAACTGACAAATGGTGAAACAGAAAATCACGATCTATGCGTTCCTAGATCGTGACTGTCACCTTGTTCCTTCTTCTTTAACTACGCCGCTCTATCCTTTTTATTTCGTTATCCTAGGAAGCCGAGAAGTTATTCTACGCGGATGTAGTTGCAGATGAAATTTCGAACGTGCAATCTCCTGAAGAAGTATAATTTTATATAACTTCTTGTAAAATATCCACGTCGCATCTTTCTTTCATCACTCTCATCTCTGTGCTAATCGTCTTGCCAGCTCTTAATATTGCATCATAAAATTCAAATGTTCTTTGAAGAAATTGTATTACAAATTGTGACGAAGAGAACTGTGTATTACAAAAAGATATTAATATTATAGATTGTGCTAAAGTGAGTTTCCTATTTCTTAAAACATTTCTTTCATACTTTATCTTATAAAATTGCCAAAATAAACCGATACGACATATTATATTATACACGATAAATACGACAAGATTTATCGTGTTCTTAAAAAATTGTAAAAATATTTGTGATCAGCAAATTGCTATGATTAGAAGTGCAAATTACTTGAGCAAAATTTAAACAAACAGAATAATTAAAATAATAATAAAGAATTGTGCTAAAAGCAAACAGTGAAAATAGAAATATAATAAACAATAAGGAAACAAAATTAAGAACAAAATTTGAAGAAAGTGGAATATAATGTTTGAGAATTAAGAAATTACAAATGTAAAGGTTCATTTTTGACAAAGTTTAAATATCTATACAAGCTTTCTGACGAGAATGGAGCAAATTGGAAGATCTAAAAAGTACATTTCACCACATACATCTACGTGGTCTGCTAATCAAACCATTAATGGTAGAGTTCTACCTGATGTATATTGGCAATATACACAAAGAAGCAATCAAGATACCATTGATAAAAGTACCAGGTAATTTTTAATAAATGACAAAACTTAAAAAAACGTTTTATATAAACTCTTTTACATATATATTGAAAATATTTAATTAAAATTTTTTGCAGCGAATACAACTCATACAGTATTCGAAGATTTAATTTTACTTAAATTTATGTTAAATTTTGAATTTAAATGCAAAACTTTATTAAAAGTATAATTTTAACTCTTTTTGGCGTATAACGCCAGGTAAAAAATTCAATATCGTTCATAAATAAATAAAATCTTATAAAAGTGAGTCAAAAACAGTTTCGTGATTTTTAGACGCCAACAAAGTCCTATGCCAGAATCGGTGAACTATTATTCTTCCGCAAATTCTTACAAAACTTTAAAACATAACACTTATCCATACTCAACACATCCGAAACAATCTTCTGCTCTTCACGCGGAAGTACCACAGCGATACCAACAGATTACTACAAAATCTGCTAGAAATAAAGATCGTATTGATAATGTTGATGTTATAAACAAAGATCGATATAAGACTCAACAAGAAGATGAAAATAATACAGAATATATCGATGACGAACTAGGAAACTTTACGGAAGATAATTTAGAAGAAGACGCTGAAGAGGAAGGTATAAAATGTGAATGTTATTTAATTTATCTTTTTTTTACATAAAACTTTATTACGTACAAAAAATTATTAATAAGAAAATATTAATAAATCTAAAAATATAGTTCAAATATATATGTCTTTCAAAGAATATAAAAGAGCTAAGCAATTTTAATTATCATTATATTTAAACAGACCAAAGATGGAAAAAACATAATAAATAAAGAGAATAAAAAAACACAAAGAGATTAATAATAATATTAAGAAATAATATTGGGAAAATACGAAAGTTTTTCTAATAAAATAAGCTATATTTATTTATAGAAAAATTATATGTTTAAAATGATTAAAAGCGACATAATTATTGAGACTGCATTTAATTTCTTGAAATAAAATGTTCCTACAGCGGAGAACAATCGATCTCTTCGAAATGACAAAAGAGTCGAGGAGTCCATCAATAAGGAATACGATGAGCAGGAAGCAGACGATGAAATAGATGAAGAATCTGATGCACCTGCCGAAACACAAGCTATACAACGTAATGCAGTTAAGAAAGATGCATTGTTGCGAGCACAGCGAATGCGAATGATTAACCAGCAACAAGATCCACATAGAATTCGTTATTCTCAACAAGCACCAAAACTGTATCCAGCTTATCATTTACCAACAAGGTTTGTAATGTAAATTCTTAAACACGAAAAGTTGTTTTATTAATTTTTTTTATTTAATAACCGATGAGTTTAATGCTTCTATAATTGGAAAAAATATAATTTCTTATTATCTATTTACTAAGATCAGAAACTTATAAAAATATATTTTACTACGCTTACTTCATCTAATTTAGTTAATTCCAATTATTCCTCAATTTATGCTAGTTTAATCGCACTATTGCGTGGACAGTCCATTCAAAGCTAATGAAGAACTAAATGGATTGTGCACGACAAAGTAACATGAATCGCTAGAAATTAGAGACATAAACGCACGTTAAACAGGATACATTGTAATTAAACAGCTTAATGATAAATTATCTGTATTATGCTTTTGGTTTGATATTCTCTTTAATCATACATATTCTATCATCGATACGTCAAATTTCTGCGAGGTGCCTGTATGATTAGGTACTACCATAATGCACATGAGCACGATATCCATGAAACGTTGTCGGAGGAAGATCTGTACACGGCTCAAGCAGTGAAAAATTCTCCTCGAAGATTATCTATGGGCTATCAAAATTGGATTCCGCAAAGGAGTTCAACAGATCGATATGACACAATGGCCTCATTAACTCAACCGAGTCACCGAGCACGGACAAGACCAGAAATAAAGTCATTTACGGAGGCAGAACTTGCTGATAGGAGAAAGTGTAGCCGTTGCGGTACTATCTCAACCAGGAAACCATCAACTTCGAGAAGGAACAATTGTAGATTTCAGATTAATCCTAACTTCTCGACAAAGACTCGTTTTGGTAAGCTAACAACATTTATAAAAGTACAGTAATATTAATAATAATTTTGATTATTTATCATTACCTTCTTTGATTAATTTTTAAATTTAGTTTCGTATTTATTAACTCGAATTCATCATTAAGTTTTTGTATAAATATCAATGTTTATAATATTCTTTAATTTTCTTATTTTTTTCAGGCGATGATGCGGAGATACTCGATCAATCTTGGTGCAACCATTGTAAGCCGAAACATCATTTTGAAGGAAATATTAGGCCTTGTGAAATTCCAATCTCAGCTTTATATTCAATGAAATCACGACGTCCCAGGAATAGTAATATACCATTGCACGAAACGTTAGAAGAAAAACATCCAATGGATGAGATATCGCATGAGTTCGCACGGATGTCATCCAGATATACCAAAGATACGCCAAACACTTTGCGAGATAGAACCAGACATTCTGCGCAGGCAGCACAAGGCGCAACTAGAATATCTGCTCGTTATGATCCTTAAATATTTTCCTAAATTTTATCACTTTTATAAGCCATTGTCAAAGATTAAGAAAATTAATGTTTTACAGATGTAAAACATTAATTTTGAATAATTGATGAACATACATGAATTTGTCTTCTGGAATTCTGTTGTCTTTGAAAATTTTGATATTTTTAGAAAATAATGAAATTTGTTTTGTGTCTACTAAAATATCATCTTTTAAAATAAAGCTTTGAGAATAATTTTAACAAATAAATTACTGCGTGTTATATCTCTAATATGGAATCGTCCGACTGCGATCTATTAAAAAATAAAAATGAACTATTTTGTTATGAGTAAAAAATAGGTTTACAAATATGGACATTCTTAAAATGAACATTGCGCTATTTTCGGACTATCTGTCACTGAATATAGTGTCACATGCTAAATGAGAAACGTGATGAAATATAAAATTATCGATAATTGAGAGAAATATAAAACATTGAAAAATGACATTGCACTTTGTAACACAATCACAGATGCTACTTCTAGTCACAGTCAGTTCTCTTCTACCGTTTGTCTAACATATATTTTTGTAACTGTCTTTCAAATCGTGTAGATGTATTATGTGTAGTGTAATTAAAAAGTTATGCCACAAAGGCATGAAAAAATAGTTTCACAATGTACATACAAACTGAATAAAATCGATAGAGCTGATGAAGCGATTTAACATTTTTCCTCATTGTAATTTTGAAGAGATAAACATCACTTTATGTCTTTTGGCACTGGCGCACAAAATCTACTGTAAATACGTGATACTATTATATAATTAATTATACGATAAACGTACGCATACATGTTAAACCGAGAATAAACTCTCAATCTGTACATTAAACATAAATGGTATGTTTAATTGATCCCAAATTAATATCCATACCTAAATTAATGTTCATATTATTTTTATTAACTATTTTCTACATAATTAATCTGGATTTTTTTATGTACATAGTCAAAAAGTAAAATAAGCTATAAGCACAACAAATATTATTCAACAGCATTTTGATATTGATAAAAAAATAGAATTAGACGAAAGTCTTTTGAATCGTGCAGATGTATTTTGTATAGTGTAATCAAAAAGTTATGCTACGAAGGCATAAATTATTATGAGAGATTTTATGATTACGAAACATAGACATTTTAAATTTTATGGATAATGTGATAGGAAGAGAATCACTATACGAGTTTTCAAATAATTTTTATTCCGCTCGTGGTCAAAGTTAGAAAAGAGGGACCTCTTTATATAACTACTAACCGAACGTAAAAGAGAAGCTTTGACTGAAACTTTTATTCAAATATTAATAACGCTCTGTTATTTTACATTGAAAAATTATGCTTTATTAAATTATAAACTTAATATTCTTATTATACTATCAAAAGTAGATGTTGTTTGTTGTAAAAGAGATACAGTCAAAAAGTTTAGATTTTTACAAAATATAATTAATTATTATGCAATAAACAAATTTTACATTTGCAAAAAGATGCAATTAAATCTGAAATATGTAATATATTTCACAAAATGTGTGAACATATGAGATATTATTAAATATAATACTATATGAAGATTCTGTATAAAAAATTAGATTTTATGAGCCGTTTATTTTGAAAGTGGCCTAAGTCCATTTTTCAATGTTTTGTTGTTGACCTTTGTAATAGCGTGTACAACTTGAAATTAGCTGTCATAAACAACATTTTTTTTTTTTTTTAAAGTGACTTAGGTCACTTTCAAAATAAACGGCTCTTATTGTTTTTAATAAAAAGTTTACAAAAATGATGTAAGTATGTATTAAAAATAAAAAAAACTTGATAGAGTTATTGACATACATAAATCTTAATCTTTAATAATCTTGAAATATTAGCAGTCTCAAAAAGTACAATATTTGCCTTGTTATAAAATTTATGAAAGACTATAGTAATATGTATTACTAATACACACATAAATTGCATCACGCGTACTATTCCCTTATATAAAAATTTGACATGGATGATGGTTAGTAACTAATATTCGCTCGTTACGTGGAAGCCTCATTGTCACCGTGATAAATTAGCATAGGACCCGTGTCAAAGCATCACAAAAAGCCCTTGATGCACAATCATGTAGACTTCGCCATTACGGAGATACGGAGAAAGATATCAATCAATTCGTAATGTACCATTTTATCACAAATTCCATTTATTCAAAATTAATTGGTACAGCTGTTATTACTATTACAGTATCCTCTCTATAATTAACATCATCACATATACTTTAAAACTTATTATCGGTAAATCATAAATCCTCATGTGCATGTGTTTTCTCGAATTATAAATGAATAAAATAATTTATTTAAATTACTAAATTGTTTCTTCTATTTTTAATTTCGAGAAAAAGCTGGGTTTAAAAAAGCTATTATACAGGATTACTTTTTAAAATTTAGTTAAAGAAAATAACACGATAATTTCATTCACAATTTTTGTTTAATGATCAATAAAATTTCAGAGTTTGGAATATTTCACAAACGCATTGGTAAAAAAAAAATTTGAACTTTTACATAATAACAAAACTTAAAAATATGTTTTTATTGTGAAATACAGTTAGGTAAAATATTAAAAAAGAAAAAAGAAATAAAATTATTATGGTTAAAATTTTTCCTATCTCCTTTACGTTTCCAGGTAAATTAATAATTTACAAAATTCCTAGAAACCAGTGAATCGTCGTACAAAGAAGCTTTTGCATAGATAAAGCTACACGATGAGATCGAAATCGTCACGAGGCGAAAAAACGAAGGCGAGATAAGCTTCGATATCTCGCGCTACAACCCTGTGCGAGATGTAAGCTCCGCCTATCCCTCGGTTACAGCGGGACTTGCAAGAGCCCTGCAACCCCCACTTTCTGGTGGAGGGTATCCCAACCCCTGCTCCATCGTCGTTGGCATCCGCGGCATTCCAATTAGCTCGCGAATCAAAAGAGCCCCACTGCCTTTGTGGGGTCTCACCCTACCCCCAGTAAACTCGCTCGTTCTCTCTCTATCGCCCTATCTCGTTAACCACCCCCTCTCTGTCCGTCTATCTATCCGCCTTGCTATCTGCTTTATCGCACTTTCCATATATTTATCTTTCTGTCTAAATCACTACGCTCATATACATGCAGTCTTCCACACGGTATTTTATACTTGTTTCATTAGTTATACGTACGTTTATAATGCATTCTTTAGAAATATGAAATTAACCAACATTAAAATCTGATAAATATAGTCTGACGTTGCTTATATATTTATTTTATGTTTTGAAAAATCGCACTTAGTATAAAACAATAATAAAGACGAAATTCTAAATTATATTTATACAAATCGTGATGTGCAATTTATGTTTAGAAAAACAGAATAGTAATAAAAAAATATACAATTCGTAATGAATGAATTAAGAACGTTACAGAAAATTTTCTAGATTACTTAATCGTCTGTTTTCTTTGCTTTATAAAATTAATATTTTCATATTCTGTATGAAATGTATAGACAAAATAATAAAAGAAATCTCTTTTATACCGTTCTCTCTTCGCCTTTACTGTATACCCAGTCTTTCCTTTTTCTTTACATCTTTTCCCTTCCAAGCTTTTCCTTCCTCTGCCCCTTACTGCCCTTCTGCTTATATTTGTTGTTCTTTTTACCATTCTCCCTCTCTCACTAAATTGTTTCCTCCTCTTCTGCGTCCTTCACTTGCAGATGGGCTTTTTAGTGGAATAAAACCAAGCAACGCTAAAGAGCGGCTGTTACGAGAGAGCTGAGGAGGGATGGATGGGATTAACCGCAGTTTTAATCGTGAACCTTCTTTGATGGGCGAAATTCATATAAACGCATGAGCACTTTAGTAAAACGACCGTATTATGTTGCTCGAATTTAAATGGTATGCAAATCTTTGAAGTTGGTTTCGAACATATTATAAACTATATAATCAGTTCATTTATAGAATATACATATGATTACATTTACTAACTAAAATATTTACTAATGATATTATGCAGTTAAGTTTATGTAAAAATATTTATAATTGATGATATATAGTTCATACTTCATATATTTCGTATATATATATATACACATATAAATATATATATAAATATATATATAATAAATATACAATATATATAAATATATATAATATAGAATAAAAATGGCGTTATTATTAAAGAGTCTAAAAATGCAATATGCTGGAGTATATTTCAAGACATTTAGAAATATGGCGAAGCAGATTTCAATATTCTGGTTGACCGAATGACAAATTGGTATTGCAAAGCGACTCTTGACGTTTCCCTCAGCCTTTCGCGTTTTTACTCAAACAGGCATCCATATACACCAGTCGCTCGGGGTAATTGAAATCGGAGGAAACCGCTCGTGGTGTTTCCCCCGACTCGGTCACGACGAAGCGCAACGCAAATTTTATTACGGCGCGCCTCTATCCACTTCGTTAGATACCACTTTGTTTATCATTCGCGGATATTAAAATCGTCAGTGTGATGTGTACGTGAATGTGTATCCAACATCGTTCCGCCATTTGCACGCGCATCACCGACTCTCCAAATTTCCATATTTTCACAACTCACCCTTTCCCGAATATTTGTCCTGATAGAATTAACGATTACAACATACGATTATAACGTACATTTTATTATTGAGTTAATTATGATAATATTAATTATAAAAGTAAAAATAATGCATTTTTTAATAGACATAAAATGTCCTATGTTTAGGTTTAAAATTATAAAATTATAAAAAGTCATAAAAATTTTTAAGTTATATGAAGTAATAAGACAAATAATATTGCAATGCTTTGACAAATGTTATAATTCAATTTAAAAAAAAGAAATTTTATATTAATCGTAAAAATGCCGATAGTACATGCGCTGAAAAAACATTTTATTCAAACATTATTGTGAGTAATACTTTTCTTTAAATAAAAAAGTATTCCTACATATTGAAAACACGTAAACTTTACCTTATGGTCTTTATATGACTATTATTGTTATTAAATATGTAA